GCCAACCCGAGCCGTGCCGTGCCGTACTGAGCCGTACCGAGCCGAGTCGTACCACGCAGTGGAAAAGCGCCATAAGATCCTATCGCACAGTGTTATCCCGAGACATCCAGCAGCAATCGATGACTCCATGGATCCAACGATCAAGGGTGGTTGGCTCTCCATCTTCCCTCCGGAAGAATTCAAATGCATACAAAAAACCTGGCCTGCAATAAAACGGGCACATCCATATCATATTACTCAATGATCAACTCACAATAAATTTATATGGACCTTGTTGGGGATTGCCCCTCTGAATGCTAGGTTTGGATATTATTGGCCGCTACAGAACCCCGATTAAGGAGTGGAGTCATCAGATGATTCTTTTGCCTTTATTATGCAGCATAAGACCACATACACATAGTGTGCAGCTGAGGTAGTTTCTGTGAACAATACAATAAAATACGAATGAATAAACATGAAACTTAGACACACAATTTTTCATTTGATTTAACAAATCAATTATTCATTAGATTAACAAACATTCACAGACCCCTCACCCAATAAACATACTGAGTGCCAAGATGCCTTTTGCCTTTATTATGCAGCATAAGACCACATACACATAGTGTGCAGCTGAGGTAGTTTCTGTGAACAATACAATAAAATATGAATGAATAAACATGAAAATTGCTAAATAAGGAACATAACAAATCTCCATTCTTAATAATAAACACACTTTGAACACCACTCAATAGTATTGTATAAGTATGCAGCGTCTTGTAAACGTATAAATACAGCAGCATAAGACTGGGACGTCATATTGTACTAGTAATATGGACCTGTAATAATAAAAAATGATAGCTTATTTTATCATATGTAGCACCAGATTACCTAAATAAAGTGTTTAAACATTAGCCGCTATGCTAACAGATTTAGACCGATCATGGAAACATGATTAAGCACTCTTTTAGGGCATCTAACATCTTGAAACTTACACACAAACAAACCCTGATAGAAACGGAGTGTTATCTGCAATGCTTCTGAAATTATCGTCAACATATAAGTATGATTAAACTTACATCGTCACAAACTTGTACTGCATAATGGGCTGCTGCACGCGAATAACAAGCGGATCCTCCGATCACGTAACAGAGAATATGCACTTACGCAAAGTGCGCACATACACTAAAGCACCATTGTACGACAATCGCGTAACACTGAATGGCACATTTACATAGACACGACAAACATGAACGTGAATGTAGAGAATTCACAACAGACCTTAATGTACATTAAACTCTTTTTTTTTTAAACATCATTAATTAATTTAAATCATGAATTAAATTCCTTAAACATTCACAATCATGTGCTCAATTCACTAAGATAAAGCTCACTCAGTGAATTTGTGTCAATGACGTGACTTCACTCTAAATAATTAATAATATTCAACATAGCTTTTAACTATGCATACAACTCTTACATCAAGTTGATAATATTTACGTTTCTCAAATCACAAAATCACATTACGTGTCCTCAACCAAGCATTAAAATGGCTGCTCAACATTACATAATTCGTTTGTACACATTGAGTTGATAATTCTTCCAAAACTCACAGAAATAATTAGATCATAACATGAAAAAACATTAGAGACAAAATACAACAATATGAATCTCCTCTTTCAACTATTTAGGAGTTAATGTTAGATCGTTTAAACCAGGGCTGTCCAAACTCAGTCCTGGAGGGCTAAAGCGTGTCTCATTGGATGCAGCCAAAGAGTATAGAAAAAGCGAAAAAACAAAACTTTCCAAGTGAAAGCGACTCGGCAGTCCACTAGCTTCTAGCTGCCGCTATGGCAAATATCAACTGCTTTGTTTAAAAAAACCGCACATTAAAGCTGAAATACAGCCTGAACGATGACAACAATATGTGTTTAATTAGGGTTGGAGCTAAACTCTGCAGGACACCGGCCCTCCAGGACCGAGGTTGGACAAAGAGTATAGAAGACCAAGAGGCGAAACTCAGTACAGCGTTCCATTGCACCAGCAGCGCCCAGCAGCAGCCCTGCGCTTCCGCCATTTTGGGGTGAAAGCGACTCGGCAGTCCACTAGCTTCTAGCTGCCGCTATGGCAAATATCAACTGCTTTGTTTAAAAAAACCGCACATTAAAGCTGAAATACAGCCTGAACGATGACAACAATATTGTACAATCACTAGACTAGTGATCATCAAATCCTTTTAACAGTTTATTTTACAGATTTTATTTTAAAGTCTTCCCTTTTTTCACAAAACCTTTTGCTCTCTAGAAACCATGTCAGTTTCGGTTGAAAATATTTTAAGTTCAAGTGTTAGCATTATTAACACTGAATTAATACCAACATATGAAATTAAATTAATGACAGAAAAATTAGGAATGTTGGACAATAAATATATAACGGGAATATAACAGCTTGACAGTACACTGTTTTTGCAGTAGTCTTATATTAATGTCTGTTAAAGGAAGACTGTAAACAAAAAAAACACACACACAGCCACTTTCTCCAAAATTGTTTAATTATTTAATTATAACAGAGACACAGCAATGAATCATGTTCTAATCTAGATCATCCTAAAAACGGTTAAAGTTAGCAGGTGCATAAGACAGCGCTACGTCCCCACTTCAAAACACACAATATTTTACACTTTTGTGATTAATTACCTGTCAGGGTCTTTGGGAAAACGATGAAAGGCGAGATTTTTACTGTCACACTGATAGTTTTTGCAGTGGATTGCCCAACATTGCGTTCTTTTATTCCACTTTGACCTCTCTTTCGTTGTTATTCTGTCTATTTCTGTATATCTGTGCTGTTGTCCAGTTGGAATTTTCACCCCAAAATGGCAGCCGCGCTACCATGCTTTTTGTTACCCAAAAAGCATCAGAGTTTCTCCTCTTGGTCATCTATACTCTTTGGTTTGGACAGCCCTGGTTTAAACTGTTTAAGCTTGTTAACACTCACCGAGATTCAAGTTCACACCTGACAAAATACAGCTTCAAATCCAATGGTTCAAGTGTTCATGACGACCTCAATCATGTGCATGAATTGTGGTATAACTTTTGTGTCCGTGGTTAAAACAAGATGTTCATTTTTTCTCCGCCATCTTGATTGATGCTTATAATGAAATTGTGGTGTGCGTCATGGCAGGCATGGCGTACTGATGTGTTGACTGCGCAGACTCATTGGCATGATTGAGAGCAAACATGAGAGGTCACAGGCCTACGGCAGGGTGTGGCCAAGTAAAAAATAAAAAATCTCCAAAAAATCGCTAGTTTTATTTAAATATAGCTAAAAATAGATCCTTGTCGCAAAAAATTTAAAAAAAGTCGCAGCTACAATGAGAAAGTAGCTAAATTTGGCGACAAAATCCCCAAATTGGCAACACTGCTGCCAATACTCGCTCGCATCGCACCAGAAAAAGGGCGGAGCTTCTTGTTTTTTTCCACTAATAGCAAATTTCCATCTGCTAACACATTCTAGTTACCAGGCAGATTGTCTGATATCAGGTTTCACAGACCAAGGTGACTTAAGGGCATAATTAATGATGAGTTCATACAAATATGCCACAAAACCATTCATATTTTTTTCTTTTATAGGGATTTTGCATAGAGGTTACAATAGCAATTCATTATTTTGAAATCATGACAAAATAGAATTCTCTGTTATTTCACAGGAATACAACACCTGCTGTGACATTTTCACTATCTCTTTGGATTCTGGTAATTTCCTCCTCTGGGTGGAGCTGATGAAGAGTATATAAATCTGTGATTGTCTGAAACTGAAACTACCCTAGAAACAGTGCATCTGTCTGAAGACCAGCATCACAGTGAGTATTTTACATCCTTAATCTCAATTATAATGTTTCTATGTTCTAATAGCAGATTTAACATGGTTGTTTAACATCGTTATCTCTTTAGTCATTGTGTTTCAGAAATGAAAACACATTCACAGTGAGTCTGATACATGTGTTAATGCTGAAGTTTAACCAAATAGTTTAGTGTGATTTACTGTGTTTAGCTGATAAACATGACTTAATTTTCACCAAAGTAATCTCTATTTGCCAGCTTTACGACTTCATGCCCGTTGATATGCAAACATTTCAGTAGATCTGACAGTGTAATGGTGTCAGGTATTTGCAATGTAAAAGACTATCCAGATAAAATCACACCATGATAAAATCAGTTTGGAATTTCCTAGTCTGGAGATCAACAGCGCAAACACAGGAAGTCAGTGTTTCATTTATTTTGTGTGTGTTTGTTTCATTTTTAAACAGAATAGAATTAAGTGAAAGAGGAACTCAAGGGGCTTGAAATTCTGTTTTACATATTTCATATATTTCTGTTCACTGGATAATTGTGCAAAATTATAATGATTTGCTGTTTTTGCAGGTTGTGCAACAGAACGACAGAAGACAATGGTATAAAACATTCATTCAGACATTTCATCATCTAAAAAAATGCATACCATTTTATTTATTTATTTATTGCGCTAGACAAATGCTTATAAAACTTTATTGTGAATGTGTCTGATAATCTCATACAGGCTGAGAATCTGCGTCACAGATTTATCAATGCAGGTAAATCTTATATTAACCACAGAAACGCACATGACATGATCACACATAGTAAGCTATGTAAATAGGCTACAGATAATATGAGAATTGATGTTCTAAACATTTTCTCTCTTCCTGAGTTTTTCCTTTCTCTTCCTGTTCAAACTCCTGTAGCAGCACCTCAGCAGAACAATGATAACATTAATATCGTCCTTCTGGGGAAAACTGGAGTTGGGAAAAGTTCATCAGGAAACACCATCCTGAGAGAGAACAGATTCACGTGTGGAAGAAGTCTGTCTGCTTTTACAAGTATATCTAGTGTTGAGAGATCACTGATTGATCGCAGATCTGTGTCTGTTATTGACACTCCTGGGTTTTTTTGTACTAATCTTTCCCATGAGGAGCTGTCGAGGGAGTTTGCGAGAAGTGTGTTTCTTTCTGCTCCAGGAGTTCATGCCTTTTTATTCGTTGTGCCCTTTGGCAGGTTCACAAAGCAGGAGGAAGACATATTGAAAAAAGTGAAAGGGGTTTTTGGTAAAGATGTCCTGAAACATGTTATTATCCTCTTCACATACGGGGATGAATGTATCAGAGAGAGAATACAGACAGAGATTGATGGGAATGAAGTTGTCAGAAAAGTTGTTCAGAGTTGTCAGGGTTATCATGTCTTCAATAACAAAGATCTGAATGACAGACAGCAAGTCACTGATCTACTGCAGACGATTGACAGAATGACAGAGAGGAATCAGGGCTACTACACCAATGAGATGTATGAATGGGCACAAAAGACCACATGGGAAAAATTCTGGAAAATACTTAAGGACTTTTTTTATGCTGTAATTGACTTTTTCCAGAACCTGGCTAACAGTTTTGATAATAGCCACTGGAGACAAAGAATGACTCCATACATGAGACTCTAAAGAACTAAGAATTCATTTTATTTGCTTTATGTTATGAAACATGGTTAAATATAACCTAAATGTGGGTGACATTCTACTCTGCTTATGGGGGGAAATTATGTATCAGAGCAAAATGAGAAATTAATTCATGCAACACAATATTTTAGCTATATTGTACGTTCACATGTTTGAAAATATGGCTGTTAAATTTTAAAACAGATCATTTTTTTTATCAGAAAGTATACAAGATACTTCTTTATCTTTACATGTTTCATTCATTAAAAAGAGTCTTGTATAAATAGATCCTTACTAAACTATGAATACAAAAAAAGTCTTGCAGCAGACATTTCATGCCTTAATGCACATTCAGCCGGCACCTATTAACAGTATCCTGAGCTATGCTACTCTCCTTCTGTGCTCTTATGCTTAGTAGTTTTTATGCTTAGTGGACATTTTTTTTCAGTGTAATTTTCATAGATGTACTGATATGATTATGGAATTCATTATAGCTATTCCTAAGTCTGACAGTGAATGACAAATGTATAACATCTACTTAATAATAAACTCTTATAAGTCCTTATTGTCATTTCACTTTATTTGAACCTTTTTATTTATTTTGTATAAACTTTTTTACTCAGAAATTGCTAGTAAATTTCACAAACTATTACAAATAAATGACAAGTAACAGTGAACTATAGCTGCAAGCAGCTATTTAGTGGCCACAACAGAGGCATAATGAGGAGATAAGCATGACAGCGAGCATCAGACCAACTGCAACAAGGAGTAATTAAAGCCATTTTAAGATAATTTTAGTCAAACTGGCTGAAAAAATATAATAAAATATAATAAAAAATGAATAAAAATATAATTTTTGCCCCCCTTCCTGTTTTTTTTATTTTTTATTAATATTATTGTTTTTTTTTGCATATGTCACACTTAAAAGATTCACATCATCAAACACATTTTAATATCACACAAAGATAACCCACGTTAATACAAAATGCAGTTTTTAAATGATTATTTCATTTATTAAGCGAAAAAAGCTGTCCAAACCTACCTGGCCCTACGTGAAAAAATAATTGCCCCCTCCTGTTAAATCATGAAAGAACTGATTAACCACATTATTTTAGAAATCCGAGTTAAACTTCACTAGCCACACCCAGGCCTGATTACTGCCAGACCTGTTGAATCAGGAAATCACTTAAATAGAACCTGTCTGACAAAGTGAAGCATGCTTAAAGAGCAACACATCATGCCGCGATCTAAAGAAATTCAAGAACAGATGAGAAACAAAATAGTTATAAAGCCATTTCAAAGGCTTGCGATCTAAAGAAATTCAAGAACAGATGAGAATCAAAACGGTTGACATGTATCAGTCTGGAAAGGGTTATAAAGCCATTTCTAAGGCTTTGGGACTCCAGCGAACCACAGTGAGAGCCATTATTCACAAATGGAGAAAACTTGGAACAATGGTGAACCTTCCCAGGTGTTGCCGGCCAACCAAAATTACTCCAAGAGCACAACGATGACTCATCCAAGAGGTCATAAAAGAACCCAGAACAACATCTAAAGAACTGCAGACCTCACTTGCCTCAATTAAGGTCAGTGTTCATGATTCAACCGTAATAAAGAGACTGGGCAAAACAGCATCCATGGGAGAGTTCCAAGGCAAAAACACACTGCTGACCAAAAAGAACAAAGGCTCATCTCATATTTGCCAAAATATATCTTGAATATCCCAAAGACTTTTGGGCAAATAGTTGAACTTTTTGGAAGGTGTGTGTGTCCAGTTACATCTGGCGTAAAACCAACACAGCATTTCATAAAAAGAACATCATACCAACAGTCGAACATGGTGGTGGTAGTGTGATGGTCTGGGGTTGCTTTGCAGCTTCAGGACCTGGACAACTTGCCATAATTTATGGAACCATGAATTCTGCGCTCTATCAGAAAATCCTGAAGGAGAATGTCCGGCCATCAGTTTGTGACCTCAAGCTCAAGCGCACTTGGGTTATGTAGCAGGACGATGATCCCAAACACACCAGCAAGTCCACCTCTGAATGGCTCAAGAAAAGCTAAATTAAGGTTTTGGAGTGGCCAAGTCAAAGTCCAGACTTAAATCCGATTGAGATGCTGTGGCATGACCTTAAACAGTCCATTCATGCTCGAAAACCCTCAATGTGGCTGAATTAAAACAATTCTGCAAAGAAGAGTGGGCCAAAATTCCTCCACAGCTATGTGAAAGACTCATTGCCAGTTATCACAAACGCTTGATTGCAGTTTTTGCTGCAAAGGGTGGCACAACTAGTTATTAGATTTAGGGGGCAATTACTTTTTCAAATAGGGCCAGGCAGGTTTGGACAGCTTTTTTCCCTTGATAAATGAAATCATCATTTCAAAACTGCATTTTGTATTTACGTGGGTTCTTTGTGTAATATTAAACCTTAATGGCTCAACCTTAAATGACTCAAAGACTGAGGTTATTGTCTTTGGCCCATCAGACAATTTCAAATTGAACAACTCGACCTTGGATAGCCTGTCAGTTTTTGAATCAAAGTGTTAGGAACCTTGGTGTTCTCTTATATAGTCAGCTCACTCTAGAGAAACATGTCTCCTCGGTTGTTGCTTCTAGATTTTTTCAACTCCGCTTACTTTCTAAAATCAAACATTTTCTGCCTGAAAAACCTCTTGAGAAAGCTGTTCACGCGTTTATTTCCTCTCGATTGGACAATTGCAACTCTTTGTATTGTGGCATCTCAAAGTCCCAAGTAGCTTGTTTATAACCAGCATAGTAACTGGTCCAAAACGCAGCAGCCAAATTTCTTAAAAAAGGCCACAAAAATCATCCTGCCACCCCCTTTTTGCAAGCTCTTCATTGGCTCCATGTTCATTTTAGGATAAATTTTAAAATCCTCCTATTTGTTTATAAATGTTTACACAACCTTGCCCTGTGTTACTTATCAGAATTGCTGCATCCTTACCCTACCAGAGATTTAAGATCTGGTAATCAAAACTTACTTATGGTTCCTTCCACAAGGCTGAAACGCAGAGGAGATAGAGCTTTTTCGTTGATGGGCCCTTGACTGTGGAACAGCCTGCCAGCACACCTAAGAGCTGCTTCATCTTTATCTGTTTTTACATTTCTTTTGAAAACTCACTTGTTTTCTTTAGCTTTTGCAAACTGATGCTGTTTAAATGTGTTCTTATCTTTGATCATTTTGTTGTACAGTACTTTGGTCAGTCTTGTGACTGTTTTTAATGTGCTTTATAAATAAAAGAACTAGAACTAAAACGTTCATTACCGTGAAAGCTTCATTCAGCATTGCTCACCAGTGACACCTAGCGACTGTGCAAAGAAATATCAGACATCCTGAGGCAACCCGGTATCACGCCAAAATGTGTTAATAGACACGTTGGACCACTCAATGATATGTGTGAGTGTCACGTTTCGCCTCCTCTAAACGTGAAAATGACATGTATGTATGAAGCTGGAGTTACCACTTGAGCACCAGCAGGGGCAATAATTTCCCCAATGCCAACAACTCCACACGAACCAAAGACAAGCGATATAGTGTGTTAAAAGATGGATTTAGATAACTTCAAGACGCATACAGGTAGGGTTTCCACCCGTCTCATAAAATAGTCGATTGTCCCATATTTATGAATGAAATTATTAATTTGATATTTGCCTGTCGTGGGAAAGGGATCATGTAAAAAGTCCACACATTTACCATATTTTTTACCATAGTAACTGACGCTCGACCATGTCATGTGTAGTCAATCCCTTACGAAAATTAACCATGGTTGTATTGCAGTAAAATAACCAAGGTTTTTTTATTATTATTATTATTTATTTATTTGGCGTATTGATTGCCATTTGTATAACCACGGTTTTATTACAAACACCATGGTTAAACTATGGTTAGTGTAGCAAAACCATGGTTAATTTGTGGTTACCATGGTTAAACTATATCCACCATGGTTTTTTGGTTTAATTTGTAGACATGAAAAAATACTATAGTAAATTATAGTAAATACTAAGTGTTTTTGAACCATGCTATGGTAAAGTACTTGAATTAATTTGTTGTGGTAATTCTATAGTTTCTGTGGTAATATAACAATTATAGTAATATAAACAAATTACTTTACCCAGTATTGTACTAAGTTTTCTACAACGATAGGGTGTATTATACTACAATACACTACAGTTTACTGTAGTAAAAACTAAAGAATACTACAGTATTTATTACAGTTTATCAGTTCACTATAGTTAATATTACAGTATGCTGTAGCATTCATTAACAAAGTGTTGTGAATACTATAATATATAAGGTATAATACACTTTACTATAGTAGTTTAAAAACACTATAGTGTTTACTATAAATTACTATAGTATTTTTTCATGTGGGTAATTTTCGTAAGGGATGCACAGTAACCACAACATATACCATGCTTCACCTTAAATGTATTTTTACTGTGGATTTTTTACGTATGTTAACCACAGCACTTGTCATTTTACCATAGTAACTGTTTACTGTCTACTCTTTGTATTAAAAGCACTGTATAACACAGCACTTACCATGGTTTTACCACAGTGACTGTATTTTTAATGTGGTATTTGTAGTTAAAGCACATAACCACAACACTTAATATGGGTTTACCTCAGTAGCCGTAGTTTTACTGTGGTATTTGTAGTTACTAAAGCACAATAACCACAGCATTTACCATGGTTTTACCACAGTAACTGTGTTTTTACTCTATACTATTTGTAAAGCACAGTAACCACAATGCTTGCCACGCCTTTAATACCTTTTTGTGAAGTCATTGTAATTCAATATTTTTTTTCTGTCTTGCAGTTACGTCAGATCACATACTCCACAACAACCTGTAATCCAGCAGCTCTTTTAAGAAGCCATCTCTTGTAAAAGTCCTTTCTTTCTTTCTCTCGCTCTCTCTCTCTCTCTCTATTTTTCCAAACTATAATCCACGATTCATTTACACATAGTTTTGCTCTCTCTCTTTCTGTAGTTCATCATGGACTATTTTTAAAACTCAAAATCAAATTTTGACCAATTCTGTCAGAAAGCTGCTAGAATTAACAGGGAACTTGCACTCGAAGCTCCCAATGCTGATCTTGAAGAAGCTGCCAAGGAGGCTGAACAAGTCCTTCAAAGGTTCAGCCCTTCACAGGTTTTGTTGAACACATTTAGTTATAACCAATTTGCTTTAATGAAGGCATCCTTATTTTATGTGTTAATAAAAACTTTCCTTATAGTCCTTGCTATCAAATATTTTGGTCACAGATCATTTTTAACACACTGTCTCAACATGTATATATTTCTCTTTGTTTCAGCTGAAAAGGAAGACCAAAGGAAGGCCTGTCATGGGATTTGAATTTGAGCATCTTGAGCATTTATGGAGAAGACCAAAAGCTGCAAAGGCAAACACTTCCAATGGTACGTCTGTGTTGATCTGAGCACCTTGACTGAACTGTACTGCAGTTACATTTGCACAGCATTTGATGTTTCTTAAACGTTGCCTTACATATCCCATCAGGAAGAACCCCCAGAAAAGTGTCATGTCGAAGTAGTAATAATATCATATGAATTTGCTGACTTGGTAAATTGTATGAATTATTACTACTTCAACATGACACTTTTCTGGGGGTTCTTCCTGATGGGGCCGTGGGATATGTAAAGCAAAGTTTAAGAAACATCAAATGCTGTGCAAATGTAACTGCAGTACAGTTCAGCCAAGGTGCTCAGATCAACACAGACGTACCATTGGAAGGTGTTTGACTTTGCAGCTTTTGGTCTTCTCCATAAATGATCAAGATGGTCAAATTTTGGTCTTGGTCCTTTGGTCTTCCTTTTCAGCTGAAACGAAGAGAAATATATACATGTTGAGACATCTGTGACCAAAATATTTGATAGGAAGGACTATAAGGAAAGTTTTTATTAACACATAAAATAAGGATGCGTTCATTAAAGCAAATTGGTTACAACTAAAAGTGTTCGACAAAACCTGTGAAGGGTTGAACCTTTGAAGGACTTGTTCAGCCTCCTTGGCAGCTTCTTCAAGATCAGCATTGGGAGCTTTGAGTTCAAGTTCCCTGTTAATTCTAGCAGCTTTCTGACAGAATTGGTCAAAATTTTATTCTGAGTTTTAAAAAAAAAAAGGCCATGATGAACCACAGAAAGAGAGAGAGCAAAATTATATGTAAATGAATCGTGGATTACAGTTCGGAAAAATAGGAAAGGAAAAGCAGAGAGAGAGAGAGCTAGAGAGAGAGAGAGAACTTTTATAAGAGATGGCTTCTTAAAAGAGCTACTGGATTACAGGTTGTTGTGGAGTATGTGATCTGACGTAACTGCAAGATAGAAAAAAATATTGAATTACAATCACTTCACAAAAAGGCATTAAAGGCGTGGCAAGCGTTGTGGTTACTGTGCTTTACATAGTTTACAGTAAAACAGTTACTGTGGTAAAAGCATGGAAATTGTTGTTGTTACTGTGCTTTAACTACAACTACCACTGTAAAACTACGGTTACTGAGGTAAACCCATAGTAAGTGTTGTGGTTGCTTTATCTACAAATACCACATTAAAGGGGTCATATGATGTTACTAAAAAAGAACATTATTTTGTGTATTTGGTGAAATGAAATGTGTTTATGCGGTTTAAGGTTCAAAAAACACATTATTTTCCAC